CTCAGAGTGGTTCGGTCGATAGGTGCTTGGAGTGGCTCAGTGGGAAGGTGTTTGATCTGGCTCGGTCGGTAGGTGCTTGGAGTGGCTCGGTGGGTAGAGGTTAATGGAGTGGCTTGGTCGGTAGGTGTCTGGACTGGCTCGATCGGTAGGTGCTTGGAGTGGCTCATTCGGTAGGTGCTTGGAGTGGCTCATTCGGTAGGTGCTTGGAGTGGCTCAGTGGGTAGGTGCTTGGATTAGCTCGTTGTGTAGGTGCATGGACTGGCTCGGTGTGTAGGTGCTTGGAGTGGCTCGGTCGGTAGGTGCTTGGAGTGGCTCGGTCGATAGGTGCTTAGAGTCGCTTAAATTGCTTGGAGTGGCTAGATCGGTTTAGGTGCTTGGAGTGGCACAGTGGGGAGGTGCTTGGAGTGGCTTAGTTGGGAGGTGTTTGGCTCGATCGGTAGGTGCTTGGAGTGGCTCGGTCGGTAGGTGCTTGTGTATTCTATCAGTGCGCGCTTTAACTTCTTTAGTGCAGACGTACAGTCTTTGTCCCATTGCCAGATTGTCTCTTTCTTTAGCAACCGGCGTAGGGGACCGGCAATAGTAGAGAAGTTCCTCACGAACTTTCTATAGTAGTTGGCTAGGCCTAGAAACGACCACAACTCTGTCAATGTGTGGGGCGTCGGCCAGTCTCTAATTGTCGCGATCTTGCTGTCCTCAGGCTTAATGCCATCCCCGTCTAATACATGGCCCAAGTACAAAACTTGTGTCTTGGCCCACTTACACTTCTTCGCGTTGATATTGAAGTTTGACTCTCTCAATTTCTCCAAGACCTGCCTCAGATGAGCTTGGTGCTCCTGGAGGGTCCTACTGAAAACTAAATGTCCTCTAAGTAGACTACGGCGAACCTATCCAACCAAGGTCTAAACCAATCATTCATACAACGCTGAAACGTAGTTGGCACGTTGGTCAGTCCAAAGGGCATCACTATGAACTCGTAATGCCTGTATCTAGTCCGGAAGGCAGTCTTGTACTGATCATCAGGATGGACCTCTATCTGATGATAACCGGACTTCAGATATATCTTTGAAAAGTACTTACAACCCTGCACCCGATCTAAAAGATCGTCTATCCTGGGCAGTGGTTCAACATTCTTGACTGTAATGGCATTGAGACCCCTGTAGTCTATACACATTCTCAACTCTCCTTCCTTCTTGGGGACAAATAAGACGGGTGCTCCAAAAGGAGATGAACTAGGCCTGATCCAACCCTTCTCAAGGAGCTCGTCCAACTGCTTGCATAGCTCCTCTAACTCTCTAGGGGACATCCTGTAGATTGCTCCCTTGGGAGTTTTATCGCCAGACTCTATCTCTATCCTGTGCTAGATTGGCCACGACACTACTCCTGTCGGCGGCTCAGATAAGTCCTTGAATTCTTCCAACAGCTTGGCAATGGCTGAATCTGTGGAAGTTACCTCTTGCTTAGCCTCAGTAACAGGTCTAACATGTACTACGAAGACCTGATCCTCTAATTGCTCCTTTTTCACTAATCGCGCGAACGCGGGAGCACTGAGACAGCAATGTGCCAGAGTGTTGTCTACACCTGACACATGAAACAGGCGGGCAGTCTTAACCTCGCCTGACGGACTAGGGAGCCTACACTCGTGCTCTCTCAAGTAGAGTGTAGCCCCTGCTGCCTCTCCCCAATCCATTCCCAAAACTATATCGAACGGAAGATCATCCTGTACGAGGAGAGTCAGGGAATGGAGAACTTTCTCCACCTTCCCATCTTTCTCTAGGCGAAAGTACGCATGGACTCCCTCTACGTAGTCCTGAACTCGCATTGTGCGGTTGTCTGCGAGGACACTGACTATGGGGTCTGCCAATTTTTGGACTTTCAATCCTAGCCTCAGCTTCTTCAGCGTTGTCGGGGCGAATACCCTTACAAGGGCATCCGCTCTGGTTTTTGCAAGTGACAGAAGGTAAGGCTTGCTCAGAATCTGAGTACACTGTGCGAAGTTGCGGTTGTGTTGATTCGCGTTGACTGAGTAGTCAACGGGGAGCGAAGAGCGTGTGGGCGCGCAGTTTTGAGGCGCCTGTGATGAATTTTTCTTTTGATATTATAGGGTCGGCATTTCCGTCGGCAAAGAGTTTCGGGTTTGATTGAAACTAGGAAAGTTTGTTCCTCATGGCGGACTGACCATGGCGCACCTGCATTCATACGGCATGCACCGTGGGAAGAGGGTAGCTAGGGGGCGGCACACTTGTGCTGCATGGCCGACGGTAGCGAACAGGGAAATTTTACCCCGTCGTACGGCAAGGGCCGGTGCGTAGGAACCATGGACGCAAGCGGTGGCCTCCGCGCGACATTATGGGGGCCACAGACGTGACATGCCGAGCAGAATCCAGGCCTAACCGCCAGTGCGTGCATACAGGGCCGTGGGGTTGAGTGGGAGATTACGCAGCAGCCTTAGTACTGTTGCTGCAGGCCCAGGCTTTAGTACTGTTGCTGCAGGCCCAGGCTGGCTGCGGCTATCGTTCATATACGGGGCCGCGCGCAGCCAATCCAAGCTGGGGCTTAGCCCTATTGGTTATGGTGCCAGACTCACACCAGGCGGATTCCGGGATCGAGGCCAGCAGCGTGCGGCAGAGCAGCGGAGCGTGTCGGAGGAGAAGGCCGAGGGGTTGAGGATCCCGCGGGACTATCCCCCTTGTTTTTTGCGGGAGGGGTTCCAACTGCGGGCCCGTGCGAGAGGGTCAAGTTCCAACGGTCCGTTTTTTTTTTTGTTAGCATCTCTTATTTCCGAGTTTTAAAAGTTTTCGTTTTTCCTATTTGTTATTTCTAATGCCTTTCTTAATTATGAGACCGACACTGGTTTGCGGGACCGGCCACGAGCCTCGGGAGCTTGGCTTAGTGACTGCACCATGGGCCGACGAGACTACAGGGCCGTGTTCGGGCCTGGACGAGGGGCCCCGCCGTGGTCCTTCAGGACATCCGTTAAAATTGGAACGATGCAGAGAAGATTACCGTGGCCTCGTCACGGGAGTAACGAGTATAAATAAGAGGAGCCGCTGATGCCGTTGCTGCTGTGGTGGACGATGGGTTACCGCTGCCGTGTGCCCCCTCTACCAAGCGGATCATTGGGTACTGCGCCATAAGGGCAGCAGCGGGGGCGGAGCGAACCTGGGCGCTAGGCTGCACTAGGCGCACCTAGACCGGATATGGGGAGTGCAGTAGGGAGACATGCGGAGGGGAGGACGACGGAGGTAAGGAGAGATGGTAGGAGAGAGGCAGCTAGCGCCAAAGCGGAGTGACGGGGCACGAAGGGAAGAGACGGGAGCAGTCAGAAGTGGGATGAACCCGGCCAACCTAAGGCGCCGGGTGCATTCGGAAAGGGGGACGATGGAGGAACTCGTCGGGCGCAGCTGAAAGGAGGGTGCTGAATGAATCTGGACGGGGTACAGGCTGAGGTGCATTCGGCGGTGAAGAAGAAAGGGGGGGGGGGGATATGGTTCTCTCCCGTTCCTGGATGGGAACGGGCGATTGAGGGCTCGTTCCTGACATTTTGGGACAGCGCGAAGTGAATGGCACGGCTAGATTGGACGAAGAGATAGTGAATAGAGCGGGGCACGAAAAAGAGAGTGCGTGAAGGCTATGGCAGGAGTAGAGGAGTAGAAGGAAAAGCGAGTATCTCGCTCGTTTCTGACGGAAATCGAGCAAGGGAGGAGTGGTTTTTGGGGTCTTGTGCTATGGCGAGCTCGAAGTTGATGTTAGTTCTAGTAGACAGTTAGTGAGATAGGAGTTATAAAGAGAAAAGTGTGCGCCAAGATGTCGGGAAGGAGAGTTGTGACGCGGGGAAGGAAAACGTATTTTGGGCACTTCCTAACGAGATCGGACGAAGGGGGAGGCCAATTCAGGGGTTTGGATCGTGGCGAAGCTGTCGGTGGAAGCGAATTGGAGATTGGGGAGGTGAGGTAAGCAGGACGAAACGGAGGAGCTGCGCAGTGAGCAAACAAAAGTGGGCATGTATCCAGCCGTGGTGTAGCGACGGATTCATTCTAATTCCTGCACAGCCGACCGATGGGAGTTGCGACGAGGCCAGCGACGGAGTTAGAGAGTTACATGCTGACCGGCGCTTTGCTCGCCCTGACGGACACATCCGGTTGCTCTCTCCCCCTCTCTCGACAACACGCATAAGGGTCGAGCTAGTCGAGGAGTCGGGGTTGTCATGCCAGTGGGATCCGTACGAACCGGGTAGTATGGATCGACCAGGTACCTCCGAGGCAAAGAAAGAGAGAGGGAGATACTTATCTGGTGCCGAGTACAACGGGGTTGACAGTAAGGAGTGAGCCGAACTGCGAATGCCAAACTTCGGGGAACTTGGCGGTGTATCCACCCGTGTTCAGGCGGAAGATTCATCGATTTGCTCGCCCTACTAATGGAATTAACGGGAGGCCAGCCGCAAGGGTGGAGACTCCCCTGTTGGCAAGTGTGATGCTCACCTTACCGATGGAAGTGGTGTGAGGCAGCAGGAGTACTTACCATGGAAGTCGGGCATGGAATGGCAGTTGATTCCTCGTGATCCCACCCATCTGTAGTCCTCGCTGTCTGGACTTCGAGTGAACTTAGCTTGGTTCCCAGTCACGCGTATTTGTGAGCCGGGGGTATCAGTGGGTATGAGGACAGTGGAGAGAAAGAGAGACAGATAGATAGATAGATAGATAGATAGATAGAGAGAGAGAGAGAGAGAGAGAGAGAGAGAGAGAGAGAGAGAGAGAGAGAGAGAGAGAGAGA